TATATCTGACTGTCATTTTGCAACCCACATTTTACATGCAGACATCATTTGAACTATTAGGGAGTGAGGGATGTGTTTACTTTTAAAGATGTACAGAGTCCTTCAATTTGATTCACTTCTGAAATGTCACGGAAATCAACTAACCATAGCGGAGCTCTGCAGAGAATCTCAATGTGAACTGCGAAGGGAAAGAAACCTTTGTGATAAAAATACACCGACTGTTAGGTGAAGCTGTTCCGAAGCGAGTTAATGGGGTACAGTTCCAAACTAACATCAGATTAACGCATAAGAAAGGACATGGGTAAACTAGTCGATTCACAATTATCCAAATAAACAGATGTCGCATGGCGGCGGAGGTGGTGGTAGTCTTCATTTTGCAAGCCGAATTCCGGATAAATTTGTTCAATTTTAAATGAGAAACCAATTGATTATTCTAGATCTCCTTCTCGATTGGACATTTTATCGCACTCCGACCACTTTTTGAAATGAAACTCTAGGAAAATAAATCACTCACGGCATAACTTCAGAAATTTTTCTCTTATCAGATGCTTTTAGTAATATATTGTTTTCCAACTCTTGTTAATAGCCTGCCTTCGAAATACACTCAAAAAATAGTATTTTCAACAGCATAAATAGTTTGTTTTTCTCCTATTGACCGGTATGAGTAAAGTCGGGAAGTGAGCTCTTGCGAGCATTAAAGATGCATCTTCTCGGCGAATTATCGAGACGTTTGCAATGGGAAAATGGACAGTTAGCAAACCCGAACGACGAGAACCGAAGCTTGTGGATCGATCTCACCGGAAAACCGCATCGTTTATCCTGACTGTCATTCACTTTCTCCCCAAATGCGTAAAAACTATATGTACACATTGGTGAATCCGGTGAGAACAAACAGAATGGAAGCGAGTTCTGTCCGATTCATATCTCATCGATTTGTTTGTCGCACCAAATATGAGGAAAGTGGAAGGGTCTGATAAAACATCTCGAACATGGCCGAGCCTATGGAATTAGTAGAAATTTCTAAACTGAATCGACGAGGGACCTCGGACCGTGTATTCGCAAAACTTCGAATTCTAACCCTGGGCAGTTTACCGACTAAATCGCGTCACCCAAGTGGTTTAACACTGGGCAAACAGAAGTCGCCGACAGTAGAGCGTTCCCATTAATTTGAATGGGCCAAGCACTCACTGATGATTTTTCTGAGCATTGGAAGACCATATCTACCGGTAATTCTGTTTCATCCGGCAATTGAGCAATTCACACATTGGTCCTTGCGAAAGTTGTCACAAGCCGAAATGAATGCCTATCGCTCATGTTAATCCTCAAGCACACTTTGTGTCAATTGGAATTAGCCCCATTTGTCAACATTATTTATCGGTTACTGCATAAAAGTTTCAAAACTGTCCGCGTCATGCATGTAAGGCACGAACCGAGAAGTTCGATAGCATCAGACAGATTTTCAGCTCTAATGATCATGATCAGCAGTGTGCTTGGTACATCCACCGACTTCCGCTGGTCAGACTCAGTTATGCTACTTGTTTGGGTGATGTGAATCATTTTTTTGCGCCGCACGAAGGAGGACTTCAAGCTAATTCTTGCGGAATCGGGTCATTTGCGATCTTCTCTCGTTACCCCTTGCGGAATTCGTATTGCCAGTAAAATACACAAGCAAAGTAACTTCCTTTTTTACTTTTCTGGACACCGCCGGCTTTCAACGCCAAGACGGGTAACCTGTGCTATTAGATGCTCATTTACACAATTGCAAAGAGAATTCATAGGTTTGTGGTATAAATAAATTGAACTATGTACACAGTCAATCATGGGACAGCTAGACAGTCACATGCTTCAGCATTTCATCAATCCATTACTTCACTGAATCAAAGATAGGATTAAAAATAGCTTGTAGTGAAACAGAATTCCAAGTAGTACACCCTGATACTGAAATGGTTGCACCGGGGATTTATTCAAATTTAAAGGGGTGCCCCCGGAGGTGACCATTTAATGAATGATTAGGTTTATGCAATATTTGAGTTAAATGGACCACCTCTCTCTCTCTATCGCACTGTCTTCGAATTCGACTGTATGGAACCAATTAGATTCTCTGTACTTGCAGCATATCGGCATAGGTTTTTGGATGTTAACCATTTGGTTAGTTGTCTGTTGTTGTTTGTAGACGTTCGAACGTTCTTTGGGATGATTTCGCCATGGATTTTAAGTGTGGTCGAATGTACGACAAGAGCAGGTTACGAACACGTGAAGTTAAACAGTCATTATAGTATACCCAGATTTTTTTAATCTTCTGAGAATCTATTTATAGATTTAATGACGGTAGTTTGAGAAAAAACAAATTAAAGATTAAATACTCTAACTACGCCCTATCAGATTAAATCATTCATCGGAAGCTTTTGAACAGGACAGCCTTTCTCCGTACACAGTTATAGTTTCCATGCTACTGTATGACACTTCCGTATACAAGTTAAAGCCAAGTAGACCAACTGATTCAACTCAAAAAGTCATAGCAACTGAGTAAATGTGCCTAACAATAGTGGATTCGGTGAAGAACGCATCTAGTTTGTGTGCGTGGAGTAGGAGGTGAGGTGAAGAACCACCTACTCAGTTTCTTTATTACGGAAGAATTCACTGTCCATAGCAGAAACTGTACACTGGTTACTCTCCATCACTTGTCCGTCACTCTTTTGGCAATCGGACTGCGTGCGAGAGAAAAAACAGTTTTAATCCACTCTCGTGTGGCCGGTAGCAGTTCAAATCGATGCACAATTGTTGCACTTGTTTACGCCACCAAACATGAGTCGATTGACATCTTTGAGCATTTCTTCTCTGGCAGTTTGTCAAAGGTATTTCAGACTCACAACAACAACAACAACAACAACCTGTGATACTCGGGGCGGGCACTTCCTAGACCTACCAAGATGTTCAGACTAGCACGCACGCACACACACACACGTCGTACGTAGTTATGTGTGCGTGCATACACAGATAGGACTTGAGGTGCACAGGAACGTAACCTGTAATCTTTAGAGTCTGTTTTGCTGACCTCACTCAATTTTTCTTTCACCAGGTTGAGGTGGGGGGAGCAATGTGCCGAACAGTTGTTGGGTTGTATCGTGAGGTATTATGCTTGACTGATCATTCGGATGACTGACTGTTAAATGCTGTTTAGGTGCTCGTGTGGTTCTGAGCGTGAGCTGGTGAGTGAGCAAACGAGTAAACGAGGGCATATGCCCGACTGTGAATGACTTTAGGGTGGAACAGTGCATCAGATACAGTAGCAGATTCGCAGGGATTTTTGTTCATCAGTTCGATCATGTATTCATGCACAGGTTTCTCGATGAGAATTCTATCATAATTTTGATCTACTAAAGTCCCAACTGCAATTCCGTGTTTCGATTTTATTATTCATAGAAGGAAAATGGATACAGTGACGGAAATATTCGTGCACGGTGGTTTGTAGAACTGGGGTAAAAGGGGTCAGACAGTGAGAAATTGTGCGAAATTTCCAGGGGTTTTCGAACCTAATGATAATCACGAACGTTTTACCGTTACAGCAGTAATGCAAAAGGTATACCACTAAGTACATGAGCTATAATTCGAATCTGTTATGTGACAAACTATCACGGATCCAGTAGGAGAGAGACGGTCAAATTAGTATGGATCGTTTCGAGAACCGGGAAAACATGAGATTCCATGCGAAACTGTGCTTTTGCACCAAACAGTCATGTACTGATGACTGAAAACAGTTTAACTTTCGGCAGATTCAGAAACAACTCCCAAACAGCATTTTGGAATGGCTGCTCAAATCTAGACCAGGGTGTTTAAGATTTAATATTCATAAGGGACAAGAGAATATATTGATTACTAGTGGCGTCTACGCCACATGAAGAGTCGTGAACGTTATAAACATTCGTGGGGTTTGATGCAATTTTCAATTTCGCTGTACAAACTGGTGCTCAACCAACGCCACATCTAACAGCATCAGCATAACATAGATTAAAATTTGCACGATCTCCTCAAAAAGCACTCAAGTCTTTCAAGCATGGCATAAGCATGCAATGGGGTCTGATAACGCAGGCAGTTTTATGGGTCTTAGTTTCTATCCCATGACGTCTATTCCATCGTATACGGACGGCTTAATTCAAATGTGATGCCAATGTAAAAAGGGTAACTTCAAAAACAGTTGCACGTGGAAATGAATCACAATGGCCAAAGACTAACAACTGATAAGCAAACTGAAATTCTACGATTGACTGTGAAAGTCATGATTTCAAATTGGTCACACATGTTGGGTGTGGAATAGAAACCTGTGGCGCGAAGCGATTGATGATGAATCGAATGATATGGCTGGGTGTCGCACACAGTGGCATTTGTGCACTTTCTCACTTTCTTTGCAACAATAATCCACTGAAATTCTCCATTTTCTATTATACTGAACTTTCAACTTTCTTGTCTTTCTCTTACTGTTCATCCAAATGAGCAGCCAAAAGACAGCAACCAAGACCGGCGCACGACAGTGTACGGTTAATGGTTGTACGAACTGAATTGAACTGGTTCGATAAATGATAGAAAATTCATATTCCTGTTTCAGAAACGCAACAAATTATCTAGTTGAATCAGATCATACACATCGGAGCGAGCATTTTGCTTCTCTTTTTCAATGAACCTCGCCAGATCCAGAGCGATCAGAAAAAATTTTTTCTAAGAGTCTGTAGAGTTTAGATGACTTAACCGCAAAATCAGTAAAAAGGTGTGAGCAATCCTGTTTGTCTGACAGCGTTTGACAACTTTCACTAGCAATACGGTCCATTTTCCATCCACCATCGTGGAACTACAATCCATGCTTGCTGTATCTCTGATTTAACTATTGCTAACATAAAACATACCTTGTTGTTCATTAAGAACCATTCACAAAGTATATCATGCATTGAGAATGTAAAACATTCAATTGACAGCTTATTGTGAATTGGGCTAGCTTAAGTTTGACCTTAGAAATACTGCATAGCATTGAACAACAAACTCACTTTGCCAGACATTATGCACGTTTTATTTCCACCATCTCCTCCACCTCCTCCACCGGTGCTCGAGTTTAACTCCGAATCAAGCACACTTTCTTTGTCACTATGAGACAACATGGAACCGTAATGCGGATGAGTCTGGAATAAGCCATCATTCATTTCGGATCGTCGTTTGGACGGATTAAACAGTCGTGATGAGACACAATGATCGTATGTATTGCCTACGTTTGCAACGTGACGTGAATCCATTGCCCGATCGCAACTCGCCTCGCTGTCCGAATCGGCGTAGTCTAAATCCTCTTCCTCTTCTTCATCGGTTCGATCTACATCATCCAACTCGTGCGATTTCATTTCATAGGGGTTCGTTTTCGTATCGGCTAAGCTCCGATGAAACACAGTGCGATTAGGGATCAATGTAGTTGATCCCTCGGTATCGGATTCTCGTTTGAAGGGAGTGTTCTCCCCGGGGTTTGTCTGATACGCTGTATGAAACGATTGGGGTTGAGCGATTGGTGGAGCATCGAGTCCGTCATTCGTGTCCTGAAGAGAATCATGTGGAGTGCTGTTATTGGTTGCATCAGATAGGGCCGGGGTGAGTTCAGCTAGAGTCTGATCTGGACGGCGAGTACCGTTCACATTGGTAGGATCCGTTCTTGGGCTGCACGTACGAGTGAGGTTCTCAAAACTAGTTTGTTCTGTCCGTTCAAACTCGCAACTATCTCTTGAATGGGCATAGTTGGATGAGGGTATGTATGTAGCTGTTTGATCAGGAGGGTATGGAAATTCCGTGCGATTGAGCGGACTGGTACTCTCGATCGGATTCGAACTCACAGCGGAAAGTTTGTTCATCCATGAGTGGGAATAGTTGAACATGGCAAAATTGTGTTCCGAGGGAAAAGAGGTTGTTGTTGAATTTACCCTATCAAACGATGCTACTGGTACTCCTCGTGGTGAGGAAAATTGCACGGACGAATCAACATAATCCGCAGCATCCTTGTTTGGAGGTGGAGAATGCAAGCCGTGAAGTTTCCCATTCACTAAACCAGATTCATGTGAGTCCTGAGACAATGGGGTCATAGAGCACGGATCAGTTTTGAAATAACGTTGTCCACCTGACGTGCGTACATTTTCTAAACCGCTCATGTAGGTTACTGTGTTTAAAGGACTTTCCTGTTTAGCCATATCAATCATGTTCGTGGACTGATCGAAATAGGTCTATCGAGAATGGGGATCATGAACGATAAGCGCAGATTTGTTCACAGGTGCCTGTGTTGATTGAATAGAATCGAACGATAGCACTCTATGCATCAGGACAGTAGCACATGCGAAACCGAAATGCTGTTGACAATCTGAGTTATCATGTGCAATAGGCCATTTAGAACAATCCCGGCACAAGTGATCTCAGTGTGCGTACGTGCGTGCCAGCGTTTGTGTGCCTGGGTGTAAGTTAGCGAGTTAGAAGACAGTTTGCTGTGTGCCCCCGTGTGTGTGTGTGTGTGTGTGTGTGCATGAATGTATTAATGCACCACGTTCGGTGCTCTGCTGTCTCCGGTGCCACCGCTGTATCACAGTACGCCACGGTCAAATCATCGGGACGTGTCTGCTGCACCCTGATTGGCTTATTGGTTCGCTCAATCCGTGAACCAATCGGCGTACAGAGAGAAACACACCTGTCCGGTAGACCACACATATACACACACACTTATAGCATACCGTTGTGTCTCGATCTCCTTGTGCTTATATGTGAGGGCTTGGACACTGGTGGCACCAAGGGCAGACCGGAAAGAGTGGGAGGAAGATGCGAACGAGTCGTAGTTTGTCGATCTAACTATTTGTTTGTCTCACTTAACCGCACACGCTGGGATGTGTATGCATTCCCGCGCAATTGTGTGTATGTGTCTGTTTTCTTGTAGCCTGTGGACCGTGGCTGGATTTCAAGGGGCAGAAATAGGATGCGTTCTGCGTGCGCACGTGTGTGTTTGTGCGTATGTATCTGTATATTTGGGCATTCCGTGTGTCACCGTTAGGGGGGTGGAGGCGTCTTGGAGCGGAAACTGACAATGTCGGTTTCGGGACGCTCAGTTGGGGGACCAAGGGGGGAGGGGGAGGGGAGTGAAAAGTATTTCAATTCGGTCAGCGAACGGATAGCACATAAAACTGTTTAGACAATAGGGAAAGTGACACGAACCACATTTGAGTGTATATGCATCTGTGTTTTTCGGTTTGCCGGTTACTCACACACACACACACACATGCATACATACATAAATACAAGAAGCAGGATAGACGTCTGTGGACGTATTCTCAAAGATGAGAGGATAAAAATATAGAAATGAATGCACACTATAAACCGATCGAGATGGCAATGAAGACTTGATGAGAGGATGTAAGATGAAGCGCATTGCATAACCACTTGATCGAACTTGTGTACATGTGCATGCAAGCGTTCCTGTCTGTGTGTGCACGTGTCTACGACGACCAATACTAGGGGAAGGGAAGTGAACGAGTAGGATCATGAATGCAAAGAACCACAACTATTCCTGGGCTTGTGTTCGACCTGATTGACTGTGGGAAGAGAACATACACGCAGTCATGCACGCATGCACGCCCCTCTCACGCACGCGCGTTCACAATTGCAATCTCTAAGCATTTGTCTGCACATTCGCTATGATAGCAGCAACGGTGACTTTAGTGGCGATGATGTCGGTGACTTCAGCTGCGTGTGGCATTCAGTCACGAAACGAATT